GCGGGCCTGAGGACCAAGGCGTGCAGAACCCCACTGCCCACATCCCTCCAGGTCAAATATGAGCCGTCTACCACCACTCTCTGGGTGTGGCCCTCCAGCCAATTAGTGACCCATTTGACCTTGTAGGTATTGACGCCAGTCTCCTAGTTTTTTAATGAGAATGGGGTGAGAGACAGTGTTGAAGGCCTTCCTAAAGTCCAGAAAGACCATGTCCACTGCAACACCTGCACCCAAGGATTTTGTGACCTGGTCATAGAAGACCACCAGGTTGGTCTGACAGCACCTGCCTCTAATGGACCCATGTTGGTTGCCCCTAAGCATAATCTCCCCTGCTGGCCCCTTGTGGACATGCGCCAGGATAATTCTCTTAAAAAGCTTACCCAGGACCGAGGTAAGACTAACAGGCCTATAGTTTCCTGGGTCCTTCTTCCTCACAGTTTTGAAAACAGGAACCACACTGGCCCTTTTCCAGTCCTCTGGCACATCGCCAGAGCACTGAGTGCTCGTAAAGCCATGCCAGGGATCCTGTAATGTCCTCCGCTAATTTCCTCAGCACTCTGGGGTGGAGATCATCAGGACCTGCTGATTTAAATAGGTCAAGTCCCTCCAGAAGTTCCCTGACTAGGTCCTCTGTGACCCTAGGTGTGGGTGCACCTCCCCTGGGGCCTACGGGGGTCCCAGTGTGGGGGGATGACCCAGTCCCTGCTCAGAAAAATGGAGGCAAAGAAATTGTTAAATAGGTTAGCTTTGCTGTCTAGTGCAACAACCAGATTTCCTAGCATGTCCTACAGAGGCCCCATGTTACCCGGTACCTTCTTTTTACCCCCTATGTATTTAAAAAAGGACTTCTTGTCCTTGATCCGGGTAGCTGTTCCCAGTTCCATCTCCACCTTAGCCTTCCTGACTGCCACCCTACAGTCCCGAGCAACAGAGGTATTGTCCTCCCTGGTGATGGCCCCTTCCTTCCATTGGGTGTACGCCTCTTTTTTAGCTAGGAGACGTTCCCGGATGCTTTTGGTGAGCCATGCACCCTCTTGCCCCCTTTGATCTGTGTTGGGATTACCGCCCTTTGGGCTTGAAGGATCATCTCCTTAATGCAATTTAGGATCGACTTTGCAACTGTCAATTGTGTGCAGCCCTGTGCTGTGAGACCTGCTTATCTACTCATTAGTTTCAAATTATAAGTTCAAAACTTCCAATATCATGATGCTTTATATATGACTGTGTTTTTTATAACAACTCTAACTCTTGGATAGAAAATAATGGATTTTAGCAACAGTGACTAAACTGTGTATTTTAAAAAACCCACAGTGCTGGACCTTAGGATTCAAGTTATATGAAAAGTTGAAGTCATCATGTTGCTTACTGCCAGTATAAAATTGCCAAAGGTCATGCAATAGCTCTCTTCTAAAATTGTGTACTGTGTAACAAGTGGATTCTTTTGCAGATTATTCTAGGAGAATCTGTTGAATGTGTATTGCTTGAATATTTTTTTAAGAATAGAGTAAGGCTTGGCCTTAAAGGCTATAATAATTTCAAATATAATTTTAAATAGTTTATTTTTAAAGATGAATATATATAATATACATTTGTATCACTGAAAAGTAACTCCTCAGTCTAACTTTTAGACAACTACACAGACCAATTCCAGTGTGTTCTTCCTCCAGCTCACAGAAACCTAGTAGCTACATTAGGCTCTCCCATGTGCTAGTAGTTTTAGGTGGGGAAGAATGGGTGTTCTTGTGACTCGGAACAGGGATGTAGAGATCTCTCGGAATGCCTAGCAAGGCACATAAGAGAACAGACCTAAAGGTAACATGAAGCATTTAAATCTTTTTTAACTTATTAGCTCATTGGTCTTGTTGTGCATTCTAAAATTCAGTTTTAAAATTTGTAGTATTGACTAGCTTAAACTCTTACTTTGTTGTCATTTGTAGGAGTATTCTGGAGATCTAAACCGTACTCTTAGTAGAAGGGAAAAGAAGAAACCTGCAGATGGAGTGACTCTAACTGGTATTAGCCAGACAGGAGATCAGGCTTCACAGCCTAACAAACATAGCAGGTAAACAGTTTTTTTTCATGTTAGTGTTTAAAACTAGAAGAATAGGAAAGAAATTTTATCTTGGAATTCATTAGGAAAGTACAGATGAGAAATTTCATTAGCCACCCAGGTAAAAAGGGCATGGCTCACTTGTCGCAGAAAGACATAGTGCTTTGCAGTACTTCTGTAGCTAGGGAACAAATACAGAAAATGCCTTCCAGAGTTTGGAAAGGAGATGATTCTGAAGCTTACAGAGTATTTTGGTGGGTCTCATCCATCTTATTTTTGGTTACTCAGCACATCTTTGTTTCTCCTTCATCCTACAATTGAAGAAACCAATCCATCAGAAATTGAACTTCCCCATTTCTGGCGTATGTAACTGCCATATGTTTGCCCCATCTGTAGTATGGGAACAATGGCCTTTTGTAAAATACTCTAAAATTCTAGCTTGCAAAGAATTTTATACCATTTCTGGATGCAGTTTACTCACTGGCAGAACATTCAGATTTTTCTTTGTGAAAGGAATACAGTATAGCTAGAAAATAGGTGTTACTTTCTCTAGCAAGCAACAAACTAAAACACTAAACTGCAAATATGATAGGAAATACTTAGTGTTGCAGACACAGAGTAGATGAGGGTGGGGGGTGGTTTTGGGCTGTCTTGAAGAATTGAAGCAATATCCTTGATTTAGTATTTTTTGACTGGGGAAGGGTAACTGCTATTAGCTCACTCTTAGTGTAATGTTAATTCTATTGACTTCTGATTCTTTGAGCTGATAGGGTCACCTTAATGCTCTTTCTCTCCCAAATAGCAATCTTAGTGTCCCGAGTAACACAGTGCAGTCAGTACAATCAAGTTACAATCCCTTTGAAGATGAAGAAGATACTGGGAGTACTGTCAGTGAAAAGGAGGACAATAAAATCAAAAAGTTGGTGAAAGAATGCTTTTTTTTTAACTGTTTTCACACTTGTACTTTCTCTATCCAGGCTTTCCAGTTTTGGGTTTCTGCAAAGATGCTATGTTGCACAATGCATGAAGCCTTTATGAAAAGTTATGTAAACAGAATTGTAACCTAACTTATCTTTTCTGACAGATACTAGATATGTTGTCTTCTCTTTTGGTTTGAATTTACACTGGACATTGGTGGCTGCTAACACAGTTTCTCATTGCCTTTTTGTTCTTACTTAATATCTCTATATAAAAAAAAAAAATAGTGAGGTATAACAATCTGCTGTGAAACTACTGCTGGAGCCTTGCTGCTGAGTGTCCTCACTGGAAAAGTCCCCTTTCAAGACTGTTTTCTTCCCAGTTACTTGTTGTATTGTGACAGTTTGTCTAGGAGTGCATGTGTAGACTCAACAGTTACCATTTCTTTAACTGTGAGTTACTGGTTCTAAAAATGTTGCTTTAAAGTGTTTCACAACTGATGGCTTGCAATGTCCAGAGGAAGTTAAGAAAAGCAAGGGAGCAGGGTGCTTGAAGTATTGAAAACTATTAATCTGAAGCAAAGAGAATCTCACTCCCTACTACCTGTGCATTTTTTTTCCTTTAGAGTATTCTGTCAGCCTCTCAAGGCATATACAGGTTACATAGGTTTGTTATTGCTGATGCACTTTTCACAAACCTAAGTGATTTAAAAAAAAAAAAAAAGTAACCCCCATTATTTTAATTATAGGGGATTGCCAGCTTCAAATATTGAGAAACACTGCTTCAGAAATACAAAATACTAAAATATTGGCACTAATGGATACACTTAAGTAGTTAAAACTGATATTATATTATGTAATCAGGGTTAATGTCTTGAGAGCAAATTAAAACCATTTAAAATTGACTTTTCAGTGTTAGCAGCTATGAGAAAAATCAAAGCTACCCTACAGAGTGGTCAGATGAAGAGCCCAACAATCCATTTTCTTCCTCTGATGCCAATGGAGAAACTAATCCATTTGATGAAGATACCTCCCTGGCAGTGGAGGTGAGAGTACGTGCACTCTATGACTATGAGGGTCAAGAGCAAGATGAACTCAGCTTTAAGGCTGGTAAGTTTGCTTTTTTTCTTTTCACTGCTTTTGCTTTTTTAAATGATTGTCAAAAGAATAAATGAGGAAGTACCTGACAAATGTCTTCCCACCTCTTCATCGTAGTGAGAACTATTATTTTTACCCAGACCACTTACTAAATGTTATTTAATATTACAGAGAAGGTCATATCTTGCAATAGATCCTTCAGCCCCAATACATGGCTTTGTTTTTGGAGTGTTGGTAGTCCCTCTCTTCATCCCTTGCAGTTACATACAGCAACCCCCGCTAGCCTCTGTCTTACCTGTAGTAGGGGGAAATTGTGATATTAAATAGTGCCTGCCCATTTACCCATTCACTGGTGATAGTAAGAGGCACCAATGGGGCTTTCACCTCCCTAGGATTGTCAGCACTGAGAATTCAGAAATCGTGACTTTAAAAACTAGTATCAGGAGTTGAGTTTTTGCCCTTTGCTCTCGCTGAACATGTTCAGAGGTTGAAAACTTTAGATATTCAAGCCAGTGAGAAGAATCAGCCCTCTCTCTTGACTGTATGCCACACCTTGATGATTGTCTCATGTCATCCCTTGCAGACTTTTTTGTAGTTGTCTCTCTTGTCTGAGGCAATGTCTGCTTCTTTTTGAGCCATGAGCATGGGCTTTATGCACATCCCAGCAGTACCCCAGAAGCGGGGAGAATATAGCTGTGCTGGCAAATAACTGCTTGCTGGAAGGCTAGCAGTCAGAGGCCTCATGGTACTCTATTTCCATCCTAATAAGTATGCCTGGGAAATTGTTCATTCACTCTAGCAGTGCACACTGCCAGCTTGGGGATTCAGCAAGAAATGCTGCTGATGACTGTTTCCTGCAAGCATCCTAGCCTGGCAGGTGACTGCTCATTTGTTCAGCCCAATTGTATGAACCTTTAAGTTCTACAGAAGCTGGTCAGCCTGTGAACAGCAGCATCTGATGGTGGTGACTTGAAATTGCATCTGAGCCAGGAGCTCAGCCTATAGAAACCAGCCTCTGGTGCTGATCCTAGAATTTAACTTCTACAGTTAGCTCAGTCATAATTCCTGTGTTGACAGCTGCTGTTCACAGGATTGCGCAAGCACCTTCTAAAAAGGATACAAAATTTTAGCATGAAAAGGGGCAATATCCCCTTTTTAAATCTCCCATGTCCTTTGTGTTGTTTTCCCTTCCCTCTGCTTGTGACCTCTTTCTCCTTCCCAAGTGGCTCACTTGGAGTCTTATGGTATGCATAATAGGATAAATTTAAAAGTTTGGGGAGTTCATGAGGCATTTTTTTTAGCTTAAGTACTGTATTTTTGTGCATATAGCCCGCACCCATGTATAACCCATGGAAAATTGCGTTTTTGTAAAATACTCTGTATATTCCCCGCACCCATGTATTTGCTGCACCCCGAGACATGGCCGCAAGTGCGGGCTGTGCTGGGCTTGCAGGTTCTGCAGGGGAGGGGAGGGATGAAGAGCTGTGGGCTCTGGCTCCGGCTCCAGTGGCTGTGCCCAGCAGAATGTGGCTGGCGGTGGCGGTGGGGAGTGGGGCTCGCAGCTCCTCATCCCTGCCCTCCCCTCCCCTGCAGAGCCCCACTCCCCGCCACCACCAGCCACACTCTGTTGGGTATGGCTGCTGGAGCCAGAGCCGGAGCTGGAGCCTGCAGCCGGGGATAGGCAGGAACAGGCTATGATGTTTTAAAGACTCTGCATAGCCCTCACCCTTGTATAACCTGCACCTGCCCGTCAAGTTTGTAAAAACGTGTATAGCCCGCAGGCTAGATGTGCGAAAATACGGTAATCAAAAGGAACAATACTCAACTACGCTAAACAAAACAAGTACATGAGCTGGATGCCCCTGTATTCTAATAAGGATATCAGGGTATACTTAAATTAAATCTGTAGGTGGACTGATGTCAAAAACCTGGTTATGATTTGCCTTTCTGATGTAATTAAATTCTGAGTTTTTTAAAATAATAATTATAGCTATCGAATAAAGGAGTGGTGTGCTGGCTTGCTTGAAATCCTGCCCTGATAGGAGAAAAGCAGTAATAAGATAAGCAGTTCTCCCCTTCGTTCCCCACGGGAATCAACAGGAGCCAAAGGTTATTCTCATTGCAACATTTTCCCAGCAGGAGATGGAGATGTGCTAATCCATTTGAAATAAGCATGCCTTGTGCCTATCAAGTGACATGTGCTATATTCCAAGGGATAGTGGAGCCTTTCAAGTATAATGAAGCAATGTTTATATACTGAGATGTTGTGGCTAACCAGGGGTTTGGGCATTCTGGATTCTATTACTGGCTGTGTGACTGTTTAAATTATTTAATTTTCATGTCACCACTACACAATAATATTAAAAATGTAGGAAAGTATTTTTCACAAGAGGCATAGCATAGGCTTAACTTGTTGGTGAACAGTTGAATACTTTTGAATAAGAGGAGCCACAGTAAGTACTTAGTTTGCACATGATGTTTTATTATACAATTTGTGTAAGTTAATAGTTGTATGCAAACTGATACTTAATTTTGAATCTGCTCACAAGGTGTGAGGTATAAAATGGATGCAGTCAAATACGTAGGTTTTGTGCAGCACTATTAGAAGGATTAGGCGTTTGTTGAGCATTTGAAAAAGAGAAGCCTCTTAAGGGGAAAAACAGCTTTCTTGAGACATGCAGGAGCCAAATGGGGCAGTTGCCACCCAGCGTTGGATATAGCTAGATTCCAAAGAGCCTGTCATCAAGGGATTAATCTGTCTGAGGGCTTAGTTTGCGAAATGCACACAGATATTATCAGAGAGGATTTCCTTGTGTATACAAAGTATGTCTTGTATTTATAAAGTTTCTGTGGCTTATGTTAAAAACTGGCCAGAGGGTGTGAAGTATTCCTACGCACTCTGCATGAAATACATTTTCTTACTATTAACTGAAGCCGAGAGGATTGTAGAGAACTATTTTACTTGATCTCTTTCCTGGTAGACAGAAGCACTGGGGTACAGTTTTATTTACTAGAGATATTGAATATTAGATTAACTTTTCCCAGAAATAGAATACCTTCAGATATTCTAAAATGGTGGAATTACTTGGTTCCTAACTGATACATATTTTATAAGAAGTTTTCGGGGTTTGTTTTTGTTTTTCTGGGGGGGGAGAGTGGGGGGACTGTATAAACGTAGAGTCATATAACATCAAGTTAAAGATGAGTGATACGTGGTATGCTAGGAATTTAATTGCTCCTGAATTTCAAGTTTTAATACTGGTGTAGAAGATGCTCTGGCGTTGGCAGCCATCATCAGTGCTCTTGATTTTAGACATGTTTAGAAAAAAGGTTGCTCGATACATTGGTGGGAAAGCTGCTGAGTATCCTCTACGGTTTGCAGGAGCCACAACAGAGAATTTTTTGCAGAAAGTCTGTATTTCAGACAAAGGACCAGTATTTCAGTAATTATCTCTTATGCCTCCCTCCTGAGTACCTTGTATGCCTGTAAACTAGGGAGCTGGAATTTCTTAGTTGATGAAATATAAAACCTTAAAGATGAAAAATCTGAGCTGGTTTAACATGAAGTCCTTTTCATTTTTACTTGGAATATGTAGCTGCCAGGTGTGTTTTTCTGCTAGGTAACCTCGGTGAGTTAGTTTGTTTAGAAGGATTAAGAAAAACCTGTTTCTGCAAGAATACCGTATGTATTTGCAGTAGTTCAAAAGAGGTTTTTTTGTTCGTAAATCATGGCTATGCTGTTTGAACAGTATTATCATGCAGCAAGTAAGCACAAATACAGATAAATACTACCTGGAAAACAACTTCAAGTCAAAGTTGGAAGGCAAAAAATATATTATTTAGCAGCTATGGCCTAGAACAGGGGTCGGCAACCCCTAGCACATGTGGCATGCGAGGCCATTTTGCTTGGCATGCCGCGGCCAGCCCTGGCTCTGCCAGCCCCTAGCTGGTGCCAGCGCTGGAGCCCGAGCTGCTCCCAGCAGAGCTTGCAGTGTCCCAGCTGCCTGCTGGGAGTAGCCCAGGATCCCCTCTGGCAGCAGCTCCCCAGAGCCGGGGCTGGCTGCAGCTGGGAGGCTCCAAACAGCTGTGCCGGACTCCAGCATCAGCTATGCACCAGTGTGTGGACCCACATATCAGAGTGGGCGGGGCCTGAGACAGCGTAGCCCTGGTCTCTCCCCAGCTCCTGGCACGGAGGTGATGAGCCCGGCGCAGCTGTCTCCCACCTGCAGCCTCTTTGCCCCCATCTTCCTCCCTCCCCTACAGCTTCTGCCTCCTACCTTGCCCTCCTTTTTCCCCCCATTACCTTTGCTCAGTGCTAGCAGGCTACCTCCATACTGCAGCCTGGGATACTGAGCACAGACACACACCAGCCCCATGGCAGCAGCATACAGCCCACACGGCTTCTACAGGAGCTGGGCTGGGTTGGGGCTATACTTGGTTCCCTAGGGTAGAACAGGGACAGAGCCTGCCAGCATGGAGCAGCGGCTGGGGAGGCAGGCAGGGGAGCAGGAACAAGCAGGGACCAAGCTGCTTGACTTCCCATACCACCTGCCTCCCCACTTCCAGCCCCCCTGCAGTGGTGGGAAGGACGAATTAAAGACAGCCCTCCAATATTTAGATACAATACATAGAATATTATCAAAAAGAGTTTAATTATTGTGGGGGTCATCTTAAATTCAGGGTCACCTTAGATTCAAGTAAATACTATAGTATAGATTTGTTTTCCCTATATGCTTTTGTAATTTATAAAATATTGTGTTCATATATAATGGGGTATTAGATGCTGCACTTGTTCATATACTACCTGTCCCTAAATAAGGCATGTACCTTGTTTTGGGAAGGCATAATAAAGATAGGTCTATTCTTTTTAACCACATGTTTAGGAATCAGTTTTGTAGTTTAGACATGCAGCCCAATTTTCAATTACTAGCTTTTCAGGGAAAGGTGACTGTAATATGTGAATAAAGAAGGTGTTTGCCCACCAAAATATAACTTATTTTACTTGAAATTGAAGATTCTGTTCATAGTTATAAATCTTAAAAGTGTGAAGTGAAAGCTTCTGTTGCCCTTTTTGGCCTGATGAAAGTGGTTATACTAGTCAGACCTGCCTTGTTGGTTTGCATTCTGATGAGATGCAGGTCATCCTCTCATTGGAAGGAGTGACACTAATCTTGATGTAGTCCTTAAAATTGTATTTGCATTTTGGTAAAGTGAAATGTTAATTTTTCAAAATATCAGCGTGATGCTATTTTAATTGTAGGCACCTCCCTCCCAACAAGTATCTTGAGATGTTTATTGGATACTTTGATATCTTATGTTAGCTTTTGTTAGTATCAAAGTGATGAGAGTAGGGGTGCACCAATAGAGGGTTTTTTGGCCAATAGCGATGGCCGATTTTTAAGGAGCCTGTAACCTGTCTTTGGCCAGCCCACCTGTTTCTGGGCTAACCGCCTGCCTTCTTGCCCACCACACCTTGATGATATTTAATTAATAGTTGTTAATTAAGTGGGAGGCTGTCCATTTACTGCCCCAATGCCAGGGGATGCTATCTGCGGCTCTGTACCTCCCCTACACAGCAGTCCAAGCCTCGCAGATGGCATCCAGCTGTTACTCTGACCGGTCCCAC